AAAATGTATTTCACAAAAATAAAAAACAGTTTCTAAATAATCTACGTCTTTTAGTAACACCATCCAAATTTGCTAAATGGACAAATGGTTTTAAATATAATCGTATTTGTTTGACACTGACTAGCAGGGCAATCTTTGACGCGCCTTTATGTGATCTTTTGGGGTCTTTAGCAGGATATGCCAGCACTGTTAGTGTTGTTCCCATTCATCTATCAATCCATCTATGAAGTGTAACACAGTTCTATGTTGAAAACTCACTCAGTTACTCATTGATCTAACGTACAAAGAGGAGACATGTCAACAGGGGTTACACATTTATGAAACAACAAATAAAAATAATGGCTATGAAAATTACGTGGTATACACGCGGCTGCAAAATTAAATTAACTCAGACTAGGATAAACAGTCTAGAATTATTCACATTATACCAAGATATCAGAAGAATCCCAAAAGTTTTTAAGTATGTGATTAGAAAAACTACTTGACCAATAGTTACAGATTGAGTAATAATTCGTTATTTTATCTGCCTCTTTTTACAAAAATCAGAATCAGTACGCTAAATGCCCTACTGACAATTGCACATAATCTTAAATAATGCACAAAAATGAGTAGTGATCAGTGTGCTGGGACTTTATTCATGTGGAGATCTTACCAGTCTGCAGACTGTCCTTAAGAAAATAAAAAATTAGATTATCTTGAACACATCAGACTAACACATTGAGTTATTATCACAATTTATTTTCGGCATAAGATGTGACTTAGTCTGTCAAACAAGCAACAGACGATCTAAAATCCTAATGTATTGAAAGTTCATTGATGAAAATTGCTTGCCCAAAGGAGAGGATACTAAAGCAGTACAACAGAAATTTTTTAAATTTCTATAATCACCATATCCTACACCACAATGAAAGTTTTTAGCTGGATAATATAATGTTATCTTTAATGAAAATAATACTTCGAAACAAAGAACCACTTTCTCAAAATGTAGCGATACAAAGTATGTGTGGGTGTAAGCACTGTTTAACATAGTCAATCAATATTTTTCTCTTAAATTAGGTGCACATTATAAATTTTCTTTCATAATCACATGAAAACTTTTGTGCATAGAAAAAGATGCACAACAGGAGTGATCGATAGTCAAACTGGTTTATGTATTAAAGTAGCTTGAAAAATGATAGCAACCTGTCTAGCCATCTTTCTATAGAAAGATGTTTTGTAAATCTTAATAGGGCTTTCCAAACCAATTAAGACGAAATTCATTTGGAAATAGGCCAAACATATTTCAGATTCCTTGAAAATAATCTAGTAAATAATTTAAGATATAACTAGTGAAGATTAGTTAAATTCCAAACAGCTCTAAAGAATTAAAATACGTATTACATATACTACTGACTTATACCAGTAGAAAGAATTCATACACACTCATTATTGGTTCTGGCTAGTTTGACCAACAAATATGATATTTATAAACACCTAGTTTCACTGTAAAACATCTTTTCGGCTATTTTAACCGTGTGTTAAACTGAAACTGTTCATTCTTCCAAAACATAAATTGATTATATTAAACATCGTGTGCTCTGAAAGAATATGAATAGCCTAATTAACTGTTGGGTAAATATTTTATGAAAAAGCGTTTCAACACTTAGTGACACTTTAGCAGCATTTGGTTCGAAATCATAAAACATAAGATACGAGGTTTTGGAATTACCAGTAGTCTATGGAGGCTTTTAGAAGTGTGCTTGTCTACAATTCTTGTGCATATTTCTCATAGTTTACGCAACTTTCAGTATAAAAAATACACATAAATGATGGCTAAAATAGTAGGGTTTGTAAGTCATGAATATCACTATTAAGTTACATTTTAACAAACATGAAATATAATATGTCTCCTTAAGCTAAACTTTCCGTTCTGTATTTTGAAAAGTGCTCCCAACAAGATATATATATGTTTCTGGTGTCGTTGTGCTCTTTCACCTGGTTAGTGAAAACCTGTCTACAAACTCGAATTGGTAAACTCCAAAATTCATTATCAGTAACCTAACTGTAGATGTCCCATCAATTTAAGTAACTAGTTTCTGTCACTTTGGATAATTATTATATTTGACTAATTGCAAAAATTATGAGGCAGCGAAATTTTAATTTCCACTCTTGCAAGTGAAAAGTATAAGATAATTAGGAGTTTATCCGGCGTTTAAAGTACTCAAGCCCATTTCTATATGACTTTATTCTAAACACCATCTATCGTAACTTCTCTGATTTTTTACTACAAATTTTGACTAAAAATTAGTATCTGACTTAATGGCAAAATAAGTTATGAGAAACCTGCAAGGTTTTGATGTCAAGTTTCATGTGGAAACCTAGGCAATTTCATATATCTCAGTCCTAATAGACCAACTGTTTAGTTGTTCATCGTTTAACACTCATCTCCAAGTGACGAAAATCACTTCGAAATTCACCGCATGTCTGCCAACTTATTGATGATACAGCGAAATGCAGTTTATCTATTTGGATTCAGTTTTGTAATCTAAACATTGTATGACTTAAAGTATAATAATAGTTTGGTATTAGATGATCGGGACTCTTCATCGGCAGGAAGCCTTAGACCTAGGTTCTTGCTAGTTGTCACTCACCTGTAAGCAAGGCGTATCTGCGACCACGAAGGAACCCACGTCCCCTCTGCTATTCAAACCCACATCACCCAGTGCTGTAGTCGGAGACGTTACCACTGAGCTATTCAGGCTCGCGACTGACCTCCTGTGGAAGTGTATTGGATATTTTCGATTGGACACTAGTCAGTAACTAGTGTAATGTGTCTAGTCCTATCTTCGGTACAGCCTGAATTTATCAGTCAAACTTGCAATGTGGCCACCATGCTAGGTGGCTTGCCATCACGGTGCTCTGTGAATTCTTGGTATAGTTTGCCATCCAAATGACTATTTACGGATGCAAGTATAGTCATAGTTGTCTTGTCTGAAATAGCTGAATGACACTTAATAGCATTCATTAGTTCTACGCGATCAAATGAATAAGATTTCCTCAACGGCTTCAGCAGTCTTAAAATATTCTTTTTAAATATGGCATCCTAGTCATAAACTAGTGGTTGTGTTTCAGCTTTTGATCATGAACATTTCATTTCTGACTTAGTATAAAATCCTTACGGTAGTTACTCTAAAATTATTGGCAATTGTTATCAATAGATCTGGGGGATTTTGACCCAAGACAATTAAGCAGATCCCTTTTTTTGTACAAATAAAACCAGGAGTGTTTTTCGACAACAACTTCTTATACTACTTAAAAATTACTTTGAAATAAGTAACTATTTCCTTAGAATAATTTATTTTGAAATTGGGACCGCTCGTATTCCATATCGCTTACCAACAAAGTAACTATTTATTATTATGATTATTTAAATTAGTAAACCTTCATATAAGTAATTAAGAAATTTCTTGAGGTCATATGTGCACAGCTCCGTTATCAGTACTTTTCTGTTAGATAAAAGATTTAGTGTACACTAGAAACGCACACAGATAATCAATCACCACTTAATCCACCCACTAAAATATCTTTAGAAGCAAACAAATCTACTCTCACCCATCCATACATAATAATAAGGTTACTTCATATTATTATCAGTGATAATTATGTAGGTAATAATGACAGTAACAGTTATAATTATCATGGTAATATTTGGAATATTGCTCTCTTATATTTCTCGCATTATTATTATCATTATTATTACTACTACATAATTGCTAGTAACAAACTACACTGTTACGTTTGCTCATATATATGTATATATATACACATATTCGTGTATAATACAGGGTGTATATTTGTGCATCAGTGTACACCAACTTCTCATCACTGTGAAGATGTTTTATGCGAAGTGCACTTTTGTGAGCATGTAAAATACACTTAAATCAATAAATCTGCTTATACATTCATGTGATGCACTTTTACGTAATTTCATGATTTCATATATTAGAAAACTATAGAGCAAAAAAGTATTAATAAAAATTTGAATAATTTAAAATAGAGATAGTAATTATTTTAAAAAATGGATAATTCGTTCTACAACTAATAATCTAAGATATGTTTCCGACAAATAATAATGTAATTGCCAAAATAGACTGGAATTTATTTTTAAACAGAATTAAGAATTGCTCATATGAAATACCATAATTTTGTAAAATATATGTATATATATAATTAAAATAATAATATCTATGGTATCATTCTATAGTGAATTAACCTACTAAGACATACATATAAGCCGACCGAAGTTAGAAAACGTCAATTAGTCCATAATTTCTCTGAAGACTCAGATAATATTATTATCTATTTTTGAACAAAGCGTACATGATGATTTATCTCTATTAGAAATAAGCACAACAGATATTTTTAATCAATGAATTTCAGCTGTTGGTTAGAGGTTATAGTCAGCAGGATGAGACCATGTCATTAGTATAACAGCCTAAATCTTTATGTTAGAAAAAAGGCTAGAGATTTATAAAAAAAAAATCACTGAATCGGTTTATTGCTCTGATCAGTTCTTCCGGCTGCGAACAATAGTAGGGCTTTATGACACCCACATAATTATCCGTTAAACTGCTGAACAGCTTAAGTTGGAATGAAAATCTCTTCTGTGCGAGAATTCCTTGGAATCGAGAATCTTGTTTTGATTTACTAAACACGCTGACAATTCAGTCAGATTATCTCAGGAAATTCGTAACATCTATGGTCTTTTTTAAATCAACTAAATGTTTTCAAGTAGAACCTGAAAGTAAATTGGAAATGGGTGATTGTTCTACTTAAAAGTATGAAAATGTTCCTTCATGTATTACTTCCAAAATATGTTCAGCATATGTTTATAAAAACGCATTTCCTACTATTAACCCTCGATCGATATTTGATTAAGCAGTTTTTACCATTGGGTGTATAGGAATTACAGTTTATACACCTACGCTAACATAAATAAATGCACATGTGTCTGTCACGTTGTTGAAATTACTATTTTCCGTTGTTTTCGTTATTGTTCACATTGTTCTCTTTGTTTGTGAGAAAATTTAGTGACTTTGAGAAATAATAATGACATATTCAAACTACTTAATTGCTTATTTATGTTAAATTAAAAATCACAACAATAATAGATCATATCTGCCTGCAATCTGCTGGTTGGATGAACTTATATCAACCAGATTGACTGAATATCCCCTTAAGTTTACTCCGGTTATACATTCTGGGATCACTATCAGCCACAGTAATCTATTATGCCACACAATAAACCGAAATCAGCATCGCTGACTAATCAAGTGAACAAACAAAGCTCTTCTGTAGAACAAAAACGAGTGGAACGCCTACATGAACTAAGCATATCTTTAATACGTTCCGTAGTATTACCTCCATGTGAAGTCTTCACAGAATCAAATGCTATCGCATTCATCAAAAAATATTATAAAAATAAACCAATCAAGTATAATGCATTTGTACTGCCTGATAAAATCATACTTGCTGGCAAGAACTCAAAATCGAATGTCTATCCTAAACCTTGTATTGTTTACTCTGAAGTTAAGCATATCTTCACAACTTCTAATATCCCCAAATCAGGATGTTTTGTGTTATGCATTGATTCACGCAGCGAAAAACAGTCACGTTATGAAATGTATCAAATCAAAGATGCAGAGTCTCATAACTTATTTCTGGATCTGCTAAACTGTTATATAAAAGAGCAAAGTCGAATTCGACATCAGTATTTTAGTGACAAATATAATCAGCGTGGCACAGACATACGTAAAGTGAAAATTACGAACTCTCGCAAAGCATCGACTTACTCTCAAGAAGACCGAGAATCTCTGTTTAATTTTGCCACTTCTGTTTCAAACCTATCAAACAGTCAACTGTATTCCAAAGCTTTATAAATGCATTCTGTAATGATTGCAGTTCAGAAATTATTTCGTACATATCAGTAGAGCGTAACATCACTGTTTTACATTCACCTGAACACTGAAAATTAGAAGGTCGCTTAAAACCTATCAAATGCTATTTATTTTTGTTTTTTTTTTGTGAAGAAATACTGATAAATCTACTTTCTTATTTGTTTCATTTTTACAATAAAACGTTATAGAAGTGATGTACTTTTTGAAACTACCCATATTCATTGAACATGAATTGATTAGTAGTTTGATGGTTATTGTCAAAAACACTCAGTTGTGTACGTATGGAGCAGTCAAAAATACATCACTGAGGTTACAATAAATAAATTAAAGAAAAGTGTTCTATCGCATAAATGTACTCAGGATACACTTCGTAATGGGAAGCGAAATCAGTCAAGGTGTTCAGTTATGTAGTGACTTCATTAGTGATGTTTAATCTACTAGGAAGCTGATAACTATTGTTTTTCAGACCACATTTATAAGTAAATCATGCTGTACTGACAACTTTACTGATTTTTCAAAGAATTAAGCGTTCACCTATAGAATTTTGAGCGATATAGAGTATATCAAATCTTTTTACTATAAATACATACCTTCTTCTATCAAATATATATATGTATAACATAAACATATAGTATTTACTGTATTAAAACTGACAAAAATCAATTTATCGTATATAACTGCCACACATGTACATTAAGCAACTGATAAATAATAAATTGTCCATAGTGGCATGAATAATACTCATTAAAACTCACAGTGAGTTAAATACACGAACTACTGTAGTCAATAAAAATTGTCTTTCCATGTTTCAGACACTTTACTCAACTGAGGGACACATACAATGCCTAAACGGAATAAGAGCATTATTTTAGACTGATTAATGAGTTCATTTGAGCTATGTACAATTTTAGACAGATAAGCAGGGATCCTTTAAAAGTAAAGTTTTCTTAATACTAATTAGGTGGAGAAATATATAGTATTAAACAAAGGAAACGCATAAAATGTAAACATTAAGTTGTCATTGACTTTCATTGCTGAAGTCTGAAAACAGATGGAAAAGCAAACTAAAACTTCGAGATGGTATTAGTAATAGTAATGCCGGTGCACACCCGATATCTATGGTAGGCCTGAATTTGGGCTAACCGATATCCATGCTGAAAATTCCATACTTGTACTGAAAATACGGTGTGGAATCAAGCTGTAAATCAAAAAAAAAAAAAAAAATAACCTGTAATACACAAGTCTCTGACATCTCCTGAGGCTTGAAACAAAAGAACGCATTGATGTTCATACAGGGAGATGAAATCTTTAACAATGGCATGACTAGCGTTTCCAAAATCTCACTCTAGATGTTGGTTTGGAAGTAGCATGTAATTTGCAGCATCATTTCAAATAGAATACGCAAATTATCTTCCGAGAAATAAGTTTATGATAACTTTCACATTGGAGTAGTCAATGTTTTCTGAAGAAAATGGATGTTTAAGTTTAGAAACTGAAAAATATGGATCACCATCAAAATTTGTCATCTTACAGTTAATTTCATTTGCAGTTCTCGATGCATACTTCTCGAAATTCACAATTCTTGAGTCACTATTGTTCTTTATACTTAATAATGGTTCTCCATAGTAAGTCTACTGTAACCCAATTAAATATTACACTGAACTTCACTTTTAAGCATTCACACTTTTCACTCTTTAATCGTCTTGTTTTGGATGGTGTGAATAAATGCCATAAGTATATATATACACATATACATTTATGTAATATTCGAAAACCAACAAGAGAAAAAGTAAATGTCAATCATAAATTTTGAATACTGCTGTCATAAGTATTCTCAGATTTCTTGTTTACCAGTGGTAAATGTATATTGATTTACAAAGCATAGAGTTTTGTGCCTAATCACTACTAAATAGTTCTCATACTTATATTTTTACAATTAGCAGTATCATTGTACATTTGTTTCATAGGCAATTTGTATGTTTGAACATTTTCTTCCTCCTGAGCCAGAAATGCTTTACAGCATCATATGTAAACTAGCACGATTTATTGATGATAACTTTACAATGACTCAGTTTATTATATTCACTCAAAATATGAAGCACTTTTAAGTACATCATTTGTTTATCACCTATATTTTTCGTTGTAAGTTTAAGTTTACACAGAACGAGTATTTATTCACCTAGCATTCATTTTCTTAGTATATTTACATAGTATTTTGCAAACTGTATTTTACAGCGAACTATGCTTTTAATTAGAACTGAAACGGTTTGTATTAGTTTTTTTTTAAACTTATAAATAAACTCGAAAATCGGTTTTCATTACCGGATTGAATTCGATTACAGATCACGGTGAGTATTGTGATCTATATTGAGAATCAGTATTCCTAGCCTGGGGTAAGCCAGAGTGTATCACTATAGAGTATTAACTTACAAGACCTAAGTCGTAAAAAAAAAGATCTTTAGAAAATCGACGTTTTCACTTTAACCTTTCATCACTGCATCAAAACTGGCACTTTTGCGCAAAAAGCAAGTAAATTTGCTAAGTATCCATTTATTATATATGTATAGAGACAAAGATGCATAGATAGATAGATAGATAGATAGATAGATAGATAGATAGACAGATAGATAGATAGATAGATAGATAGATAGATAGATAGATAGATAGATAGATAGATAGATAGATAGATAGATAGATAGATAGATAGATAGATAGATAGATAGATAGATAGATAGATAGATAGATAGATAGATAGATAGATAGATAGATAGATAGATAGATAGATAGATAGATAGATAGATAGATAGATAGATAGATAGATAGATAGATAGATAGATAGATAGATAGATAGATAGATAGATAGATAGATAGATAGATAGATAGATAGATAGATAGATAGATAGATAGATAGATAGATAGATAGATAGATAGATAGATAGATAGTGTGACTAATAGCCTACCTAGTCTTATGGATAACTGTTAGTGAGCGTGATAGATATTTGTTTACATCTTCCAGATATAATAAGATTTTATGACTTAATTACCTATATTTCTAGCTGATTAATTGTTTATCATGCAATTTATTGGCAGTATATGTGACTCGATTAATTACTTGAGTATCTGAACTGTTCCTCAAAATTTCTTACACAGAAATCGAACGAGTTACTGTTATTCTTCATTAAAGAGTTGGATGAAATTTGAACCTCAAAGCATGCTAATGAAAATGTTAATGACCTCGTAACCATCAACATTTTTGTTCGCCTACTTATTTATAGTGAATTTAGTTGTTTTATTTCACCACATAAAATTATTTCTAATAAGACCACTACTGTGAGAAATACAGACTCCTTAACTTTACTCAGTGTATTCATATTCATATTTGATATAGAAAATATCTGTCGGCAAGGGGTGTTTGTATCAAATTTCCGTAAACTTATATTTCAGTACACTTTTATGTAAAAAAACGTGTATAACAAATACCTTTTTAAAAGTCTAACAAATATTTTGGCTGTGTGTAATCAATTTTATGTTTTTTTGGTTCAATACAGACACTGATCATAGATCATAGGTATTTCTCTTATCATAACATAAACGTTTTGGACTGCTGTGAAATGACCTTAGAGCCGTGTCATAGTCCGGTGATGACATTGCACACTTAGCAGGTGAATTCCAACTAGCCCATTGAGGAACACACACTTCCACTGATTACTACTGTGATCGACTTGCTGGTTTTATTTGACACCTTATCACTAAATAACAAGGAGGTCTTTTATTTCGATTCTGAGTGGTCTCTGAATTCAAAACTGAATTTTTGGTATGACCTTAAGATGAAAGTTGTAGAACTTATTGTTCAGGCTACGCATACTCAATTTCAGTAATATTATTCAAGATGAACTTCGCTTATGCTACACCTGATGTAAGTGAGTCCAGAGAGATACAGTAAGACATAAAAGCGCTTATCCACAGCACCAAGAGGAGATAGACATGTAGGGTGTTTGTGTCTAACCTAAAGTGATAGATGGAAGACGATATCAAGGGAGATAATGCGGTGCACTGAATCTGACTAGAATATGATTTTGATTAGCACCAGGACTTAGAAGGTAGTCCCTGTTATTGAATTTAAGAGCATTAGTTACTTATAGGACATTTAACTTACTACTGTTCCGTTTAGAAAACTAATATTTGGGACTTAGTTCTTTAGCCAAAAATATGGTACCCATCTGGTGCAGAGGTTACGGGGATAACTGATTTTTTTTTCACCTCTACTAAATCTGTTTTTAAGACATAGTCTGCTATGCCAGATGCCCTGTGATGGGGTGATACTTCCCACCACCACTACTGACCAAGTCCAGAATCTTTCGCCCCAATGACACTTATTAAGACTAGACTGTAATACTATTGGCTTCAGAAGCTAAAGTTTGATAAAAATACTTTTGGAGCCGTAAGAAGGTTGTATCATTCAAGATAACTAATTTTAGCCTCTTAATAACGTGACACTCATTTATCAAGGACTTCTTACGTTCTTAACAGAATATGCATATTTCCTGGTGTTTATGAGTGGTGATTGGAAGTGGTAAGCTGGAACTGTACGGGTGATTTGAAATCAAATGTTTTCAAAACTGCTTGAAGACTGAAAACACTGAAAAGGTCCAAAAGCTCAAGCAGCGTTTAGCAAATGGATAGAACAATTTAAATTAATAATATTAGGAATGAACGATACGTTTAGTATGCGCATAAGGATGAAGAAAAATCAACAGAACTACATAATGACCGCAATTTGATAAGGAATCTTCCATACAAAATGTATAATCATTAATTATGTGCAGACTAGGACTCCTGAAAAGTCCACACAAATTAGATGATTGTTTCATAGTACTAACCAATGAAGCCGCAAATCCAAGTCCAACCCACTAGTCCGTAGGATCCATGTCTTTCCTAAATATTTTTTGTCCTCATATTTAGATCATAAGAAAAACTGGTCTCAGAAAGGAATCTTTCACTTCTTGATGTCTATTAATCGACGAGATGGTAAGCACCAAAATTTCACTTCAACGAATTCTCATTTGTTATATAAGTATAATCGAGAATTCACGGTTAATAAAAGCCTTTACGGTACAGAATTCAACACAACCTAATGCAGACTTTATTTAAAAAGATGCCAAAATATTTAGGTGAGACGCAGAGTTCTTTTTATATAACTTTTACAAGTTCACTTATTTTTTGCCGTTCTATACAAGTGAACCCAATTTAATAGCATATTCAACCATACTAAAGGTAGGATGAAACGTTATTATCATTATTAAGTGGAAACGTTTGGTCATCTGATAGTTTATAAACAATCTAGAGTAGATAGTTACTTAATGTTTTTCTTTAATAACTCAGCAGTACAAGCATTACTTCATTATATTTATTACTGTGAATGCAATGCGAAAGTACAGCCCTCTCTTTAGCTGATTACATTTTTTCTCCATTCATTCCTTTTAAAAATAATTGATGTGCTAAATGTTAAATTATGCCACGAGTCATCTTCACTATTAATGTCTTTTAAAATAAAGCATTCCATCATGAAATAACTTAATGGTGGCTTGACAATTCGTATTTTTAGCTTTTCAAGGTCAAATAAGATTCGTAAACTATATATGAACTTTACAAGTTACTTTTATCATATTTTAACATATTTGTGTCTGTTCAAATTTCGCACATTATCAGGACAGTGCAAAATTTAATATAACTGATAAATCTTATGAAAGTCTGAACATTTGTAGCTCAAATTCTAGGCATTCTGTTCGTCTCATCAAACTGAAAACATTTTATATTGCTTACAGCCTGTTCGAGGTCGGTCTAAACATTATCTTCATTTGTACTTTCTTCTGAAGTTCTGTTCAAAATAACTCAGACTTTCTTTGACAGTGATTCTACAGAAGATTTCGAGCGTTTAACTCTGATTACATTTTTCTTTAGAATCCTACTTCCATTATCAGTAGTGACGTTTACAATGCTAACTTGTTGTTGCTTTAATAGTTGTATACACTGCCTTAATCTGTCATACAAAAACTAGTTGTTTTCCCTTGGATTTTCTGAATCGAATATGTCAATAATTATCCAGTGATATAACTTCTTGTATTTGTTTCATTTCTGTCAACGATATTTTGTCTTACTGCTCACATTTTTGGTCGTCTTTGTTTGGTATTTCAAAAAGTCCATTTTAAGTTACAAACAGTGGCTGAACATATTTCACCTAAAATATCCTGTAGAATAGTCAAACCTATAGAACATGTAACTGATCAGTTTTGTTTACTAAGTCCATATAGAAAATCTAGAGATGAAATTTACCACTACCAAGCATTACACATGCTTGTTTAGGCATTTAGTCATATTGTATTACGCAGATTCGTCAGATTAACTGCCATGAATTCACTTTTCTTACGATTTTGAATTCATATTTTATGTGAACCACTTCAGGCTTTATTCGTTTCTTTCTTGTGACTGCAGGAAAAAATGAGACAGTTTTTTTATCATTTTGTATTGGATTTTGAATCATAATCAGACAAATCGTTCGATGTGTGTACGATTTCTTCTATTTTGACTGTCGTGAATAAACAGGCGAATTTGACTTAGCAATACCAAGAATCACAATCCATCTAAACCAAGCTTTTGAAAAAAAAGGTTGTTCATTAAAAGGAGAGATAATAAGATGCCATAGAAATTATTGGCTGTTTGATTGTCAAAATATAAAAGATTGTGCGATTTGTTAACGACAAGTTTTCACTAATATATCATTTATGTGACACTGGAATATTTCGTTGGCTTTGTATGTGCTTTTACGTCACTTCAGCCGAAATATTAAATTTGAAACTAATATTTGGATAACATCAGCACCATTTATATACGTAACAAGCAGCGCGTTGATAAGAAAGTATTTCAACTGAGAATATACTATTTTTCAGTGATTCTAAGTATTTATTTTTATGAATAGTGCTGAAATACATTTTTTGTTTTGCAGGGTCGTTCATAAAAGATGATAGCAATCCTACAATTATACGACAAAGAATTTAAATGTATTGGGTATTGTCTTGGTATTGTCTTGCTTCTTGGTAAACATGAAATTTTTAAGTATTTATTAACGACTGTACTATACCAAGATAGCACACTCTAAGCTGATGTTGGCTTTTAAGTAGCTCATTTTTTCATATTTCTCAGTCATTTGTCGATGACTGTCTCATAGGAGCAATGAAGCTTCTGAAAAACTTGCTTAAAATTTAGTCCGCGAGCGCCATTTCAAAATACTTTCGTCTAATTTTCTGATGAAATTAACGTAACCACAAGTCAGGTTGGTAACCATTTCATA